CATGGAATGCCAGCCACTGCTGGAGACACGGCTGTGAGGGCTTGGGAGCCCCAGACCCAAGACGCACGTCCGCTGCAGAGCTGGGACCACGGCTGCCGTGTTCTGAGTTTCAGTCCGATGCTGCATTTATCCGGGTCCCCTGCGGGTGTCAGGCTCATGGGTCCTGTTCACACGTGGTGTGGTGCAAACAGCAGACTGAGAGCTGGGAGGGCCCTCTGCGCCCCACGTCCCTCCTCCGAAAACAGGGCCGCCGAGCTCGCTCACAGCTTCTCTCCGGTTCGACCTGCAAAACAGACTTCCCCTGGCCATGCGAGGAAAGGTGGGAAGGATGGCTAGCACAAAAGTTTTGCTCAATGTACACGTTTTTAGCTTAACGTAAAACTTTTCCCCTCTTGGGGGAGGTGAAGGAGATAGGTAGGGTGGTTCTGGAATTTTCTGAGGAATGCTTTGGAAGGCGTGCTGGTTTCCTGCTGGTACGGCCTTGGTGGCAGCCTCTGTTAATGTGCACAACATTCTTGGTCAGCTGGAGTAACCACGGCAGCCAAAGGCCTTCCGCAGGCGCGCGCTCCTCCCGCGACACCGCGGGCCTCCTGACGAGGTGGGGGAGCAGGGAGCGAGGCGGCAGCCGGCGCGCGGGCCCAGCCCATGGGAGCCGGACGTTTTCATGGGATCCAGACCTCTCCAAGAATTGTTAAACCCGTCCCCATTTAGACGGTGACCTAGGCGGCAGTGGCACATGCTGGATCCTGATAACGAGCCCGATGCAGCCTGCACAGACCAGGGCGAGAGGCGCCCAGCACGCTTCCTGTTCTGAGCCTACGAAGTAAAAGACGGTCCCCGTGCACTGTGTGAACGGTGAGAATTTCAACCATGTCGCAACAGACGCAGGCCAAGTTCAAGGGAACCTGTCCAGCATGTGGCCCCCTAGAAAGGCTCGACTGCTCGTCCATTCAACAGACGAGGAGGCCCTGGAGTGACTGTCGAGAACAGTGCAGTAAGGACCTCTGAGAGCCCATTGAGAACACTGGCAAAAACTGTCCAAAAAAGTCAGCATTTTCAAAACTCTGGAAATTCAGGCTTGCTGCCGTCCGGGAGTGCGTAAGAAAACTGGCTGCTTCTCAGCAGGGAGCTTGGTGGCATTTACACTTGACCTGTTGCCAGACCCCTGCTGGCAGCTCCTGGAAGGGTCAGGATGGGGTTGGAGCGCTTTCAAAGCCCCACGCTCAGAGGACAGGCATAATTTGCTGTCTAGCTCTCTGGAAAACCCCACGTGCGGGGCCTGTCTCTGACCTGTCTTTTCTTTGGAGGCGTGTCTCAAAAACAATCGGTAATTTACTTGACATTGGGGCGACGAGCTAAGATAACAAAAAAGCTTTTATTATTTTTTTAAGCAAGAAAGAAACTGGACGAGGTGCCCAAGGCAAGCCCTGAAAGGCAATGAGCTCCTGGGAACTCGGAGGGGTGTGAGTTAGGGCTGGGCGGGTCGGGTGGAAAGTGCTGTCAGATCTTCCCGCAGAGCGCTCTATATCCAACGAGACTGTCCTTGAAAAACTTGAAAAACGAAGGGGAAATGAAGTCGTTCTCAGATAAATAAAACCGTCACTGGACGACCTGTCCCATAGAAAATGCTGAAAGAGGTCCTTCAGGACAAATCAAGGGACACTGGACAGTAACTCACATCTACATGAAGGACAGAGCAGCAGCAAAGACAACTACATAGGTAATTATAGAAGAGGATAAATGTGCTTTTTTGATTGTAACTTTTCTCTCCTATTTGATCGAAAAGGGGAGGCATAAAGCAGTAACAGATCTGTTGATGGGTACGCGGCACATACAAACAGAAATGAGGTGGAGGGCATGGAGCTCTCAGGAGCCCAATTTTTGTATACCATCAAAGTTGGTGTTAATCCGGACGAGTCGGTCCTTGTACTTCCCAGGGCAACTTCTAAAGAAAGAACTAAAATGTACACAATAAAAGAACCAACAAGGAAATGAAAATGGTACCCTGGAAGATCTCTACTTAGAGGCCCTGTGCTAGGAGCTGGGGAACCAAGTGCCTGAGACAGTTTGGCAGGTCACTATCTCGTCCAGTAACATGCAATACACGCCACGCAAGGACCCAGACTGAGAAATGACACGTGCTGCAGTGTGTGATAGAACACAGGGCTCTGACAGATGCACGGAGGGGCGCCCCAGTGCAGACCTGGAGGGTGAGAAGCCTGGGGTAGGCAGCAGACATCTCCAGCAAGAGGAGCTTTTTGGTTCTGGGAACTAAGGCCAGGGTGACTAGAGCACAGCCTCAGTGACAGATGGGGTTGACAGTTAAGCAGCAGCTTGATCAGGCAAGGCCTTGAGGGCAGAAGTTTGGGTTTCAGCACAATTATTAAAGAATTTTAAGAGAGGGAGTAACATAAAACAATCTATGTTTTAAACGTCGAGTGTTTTGGAGGGGCTGCTATTAGAGCAGACCAGTGTACAGTGCAGACGGAGAGCGGACAGGATGCCAGGTAGGTTTTGGAAGGCAGGACCTTAGGGTCTGTTGGAGAGGATAGGAGGGGTATGAGGAGGTAGAGGATGGCCCCAAATCGCTCTCTAGTATCTAGTGGATAATGGTGTCAGTGTCATCTCCTGAAAAGGGTCTGTGGGAGGCCCTGGTTTTCGAGTAGTCAATTTTGAACATCCTAAATCTGAGATGCCTGAGACATTAAGACAAGTTCGGAGCCCACAGAGGTCAGGGTGAGAGATAAATTTTGGTCTTCGGGTAACACGGTAGTGAAAGCTACGCGATTGGGTGAAATTGAGGATGGAGGTGTGGACAGGAAAAGGGTCCGTTCAGAGGTTGACAGAGAAGGAAACAGTGAAGGAGACGAACGAAGCAAGTGAGCTGGCAGGAAACCAGGGGACTGTGGTGTCATGGCAACAGATTTCCAGACAGGTAGTCAACTGTGTGCGATGCCGCCGAAGGACACCACCTATTGGATTTGGTGACAAAGAGGCAATGAACAATCCAGGCAAGGGCGCCATCAGTGACAAGGTGGGGAGACATGGACTAGAGGGGGTTGAGTGGACGGATAGATTAGTTTGAGCAAAATTCTATCACGTTAATCTTAATTTGTAATGTGATGGCACAATCTGTATATATTATGAGCTGCAGAGTAATGTTGTATAGTTCTGTATTCACACTTACTGTACTTGATCAAATCTTAAGGCTGCATTTATATACCAAGAAAAACATTACCTTTCATGACACAGTGCTTTATCGCTGATTTTGACTTGTTCTGATTTCAAAAATGTTAAAAATATGTCTTAGCAGTGATGAACTAACTATACCATTAAATAACAAGACATTTAAATCAAACTTGGCAGGTACAAGAATTTCTTCAGGTCCTACCGACCACTTCCCATCACCACCTGTGCGTAATGAGTTCCTGGTCACGGAAGTCCCAAGCCACACCAGCACACTCGGAACCCGTAACAAGCATAATCCATTGCATGAGTGATGGGATCACCGTGCTGGGGAGCAGAACTGGACCCACCCTGCGGTGTCTCCAACGGTCAAGGTCAGACGCCAGCTCTATCAGGCTGCAGACCTCGCTTGTGCTCATGGCACTTAGAAGGATGTGCAGCACACAGCAGGTGCTTAGAAAGCGTGGCTGGTGAACTGTGCCAGGCAAAGGACTACACGCCACCTCAGGAGACCCAGGCCAGGCCTCAAGGCCCATGCTGGGAGGGAACTTGTTTCCAGTACGGGCACGCTGCACAAAGTTTGCACTTAAGTGGAAATAACTTTTCGGATGAAAAAGGATGAGCCGAACCCGGATTTAATGTGGTCCCACCCATAACCTGGGTACCGATACATAATATTGGGCCTAAGAATAAACCTTGTTAATAAGTAATGATACTATACCGTCAAAATTTATTTTTCTTTATTTAAAAAGTGAGTATTTGGTGGAGGTCTTCTAAGGCTCAAATATTATCCTGGAATGACGAGACAAAAATACTTAAAAGATCCAAAATAACGGCATATCCTGAAAACATATTTTGTCACTAAACATCAGCTACAAAACAAAATTGTATTTTATTCGTAGAGTAACACTTCCTAAAATGTCAGAAATGGCCCTGTGAGGTTTTAACTGGGGGGAGGAGGAGGGAGCATCATTTACAAACACCGCTTAACTTGAACTCTGACTTCCAGTCGCGGTGCAGCCTGGTGGCCGGTTAAACCCTCCCTCCTCCTTCGGAGCTGCTCCTACCGGGTGGGGGGTGGTGTGTGGTTAGGGTCTGAAGTGAGGTCACAACAGGTACAGGACATTCTTTAAACTACTGGAGCTCTAGGGATGGTGACAGGCTAATCCTTTTTCTAAATCAGATCCTGTCTGCCGTGGACACTGAGCTAAGTGCAGGGAGGGACAATAAGTGTCTCTTAACGTGTCCTCTTCCAGTAGCCGAAGAGGCAAGCCAGGTGACAAGGTGGCTCTGCAGAGTGACCACTGCAGCCCCACCTGCACGAAGCGCTCCAGCCAAGACGGGGCCTTTGAGGACGGAGGGGAGGACGGCCATTCCGGGACTGACTCCCTCAGATGCCCCAAGCCACTGAGTTTTGGTGGACAGAGATCCACCCAAATTCTCACCCTCTACCCTGACTGTCATTGCTGCCTAGTGGGCCCTGGCAATGGCCTGGTGGCCCTGTGGTCAGCAGGCGCTGAGGGCTCCACTCGCCTCGGCAGGACAAGGTTCTAGCCTTTAAAAGCCACACTGAGTAGCAGGGATTAAGGTTTGCAGCTATTTTATTTACAAGTATACATTTAACACAATGAAATAAACACTGATATATGGAAGCTAGTTATAGTAGTGTAACAATATGCATCATTTGGATGATTACATTATTTTAAACAACAAACTACACTGAAAAAATTAATGCCGATAAAATTCTTGGTCATAATATTATTAAGAAATACAATATATAAATTGAAAATATGATTGCTTAAAATTTGAAAGTGGAAGTAAACTCATGTGGACAGAGTCAGAGTTTAACATAATCTGAAAGGAGGGGGCGCAGGAAACAGCTCTGACCCAAATGAAATCTTTCAGGTTAACAGAGGAAAAACGAAGCGGAGTTTGTCTTCGAGGATAACGGGCGGTCTGTCCCCAGGCAGGACAGGCCTGCGTCCTCAGGTCCCGCAGCGGAATTACATCACTGAGCAGGAAGACTTTCCTTGTGAAGCGGCCCCATCAATTTTTTCTGCCTCCAAAATTATCCTTCTAAAAACATCAACAGCGGTCTGGAAAAGAAAGAGAAAACCAAAGACTGTCAGTTTCAAAGTGGAGCCTGAGAGATGCTTTCACCGCTGGCTGGACAGAGAAGGCCCGCCGCCCGCCTGCAGGTGGAGGCGAAGAGGCGGCTCCAGAAGTGCAAGAGCCTCGGCCTTCCCTCTCCCCGCCCCATGACTCCTGTCACGTGTGCCTCTGACCCCGTCCTCATCAGTCCCCACAGGAGGCCCAGGAGCCGGCGCAGGCCCATCCGCCACCCGCTGTTGCCTCAGTCCAGCCCTCCCAGCACTCTGCTGGGGCCTCCGGGCTCTCACGGCCCAGTAGCAGCCAAACGCCCTGTCACCTGCCAGCTGTCCTCTCCCTTAGGACACTGCTGGCCTGAGCCCTTCCTGCGTGCGCCCCTCACTCCTCACACCCCTCCTTCGAACCCCTCTTCCTCCCATCTCCTGAACACGCAGCGCTGACTCTTAGGACTTGAGAGGATCTGTGTCACCTCCGAGTCCTGATTCTTAGCTGCGGAGAGACTCTGAGTCACTCCCGCTTCCTTCTGGAGCAGCGCCCCTCCCAGCGCCCCAGCCTCGCAGACCGGCCCCCAGCCTCACACATCTCGGCCGGGAAACCCTCCCTCAGGCTGAACCAGGGTCAGAACCGTCGGTCCCTGTAAAACGAAAAGAACGCCCCTGTTCTCAGGAGGCTCGGGCGGCAGTCCGGGATCGTGCCATCACCCACAAGCACTCCAGTGTCAAGGACCCCGCCTTCCCTCTCATGCTCCGATGTCCCCAACTCGACAATCCTCAACCCCACAGGGACCTGCCTCTCCCCAGCCCCCGGGTCTGGCAGCTGCACAGCCGACGCAGTCCGCCTGGCCTGCGGGGGTCTCGCCTCACCTCCGGGACCCTCGGTGCCGCCCAGCTACCTTCCCCTCATCCGCTCAGTCCCCCAGATGATGTCATGCCTTCTCCTTTCGCCTAGAATTTCTAAAGCCTCCCCACCATTCTCAGTAGCTGATAACCATGGTTTACATTTCACTGGGGAAACAGAAGCGACATTCATAGGACGACACCCTGTTCTCCAAACTGCCAGGCCCTTGAACCTGGCTGGCCTCACCGTCCTGGTTCCTTCTCTCTGGCTGCCACGAAGGAGGGCTCCTGAGGCCCCGGCCCCGATGCTCCTCGCGAGCGAGGTCACTGGCTTCGGCAACTCTCTCCTTCCAGCTCCCCACATGACCAATCCCCGCCTTTTCTCGTGGTTATATAGACGAGTTATTTATTTCATCGTAAAAATAAATCGCAGAAAAATGTTTGGAATGACACATGCCAAACTCTATCAAGAAAACTGTGTGCCTGGAGCCTGGCTCTCTAGAGAAATCCCAGAACTCTCCTGAATTATCTGTGTGATGTGACTGTCGAGGCACATTCTCCTTCATCCGACGGCTAAAGGCCCCATGGGAAAGGCGCCCGCACCGCCAACACCCCGCCGTCCAGCAGCGGTCACAGTGCGATGTCCTCACAGACCTGGTCGTTTTCACCACCGTGCACTGTGTCAGCGAAACGAACTCGGCTTGTGACGGTTTATTTTAAAATACTGGATTTTTGGTAAGTAATACAAGTTACTAACAGACTATACTTGAAAATTTATCAATAAAAAATTTGAGCAGTTCATACAATTGGTCTGATCACGTGTGCGTGTGTGTGTGTGTGTGTGTGGTGTCTACCATACGAATTCTCTCTCCTTACTAAACACACGGATGGTGGGGAGCACTCCTGGGTATGTGGGTTAGAATCACTTTGACCTCTTACATCATGGACGAAACGACTTGGTGTCTCCCCATCAGGGCTCGGGGCCCCTGAAGATCCTTAGCATATTCAAGGAGGATGTGAGCAGGAACGTAACAAGGGACTCGACAGGCAGTGGGGCTGAGAACTATCCAGACTTGCCTTTAAGGGATCTGGCCAGGACTGCTGCATCCCTGCTGTATTCACCGCGCTTGGGTACAAGAACCTTTTCATCTTCAAGGGTTCCTTTCTCATCTGATAAGGTATGTGCTGATCGGATGATTGTGCCGGGGCAGACCCAGCCCAGGAGAACATCTGATCTCTGCCCTTATCTGGCTTAAGCCTTCAGCATAATTCACCTTTTATCTAGTTTTTCAAAAAGCAGGATACTCCCTTCTTAAGGAAAGGAAAAAATTAAAGCGCAAACCTATCTAGAACCATGTTAAAAACCTTCAGCTACAGTAAAGCACAACATAAACCAGAGAAAAGCCTGCGCCCTAAGACCGAAGAGTGGCTGAATGACACATCGTAGGCAAAGCATTCCAGGTTACTCTCAAAAAGGTACATTAAACTGAGACGATACGCCTATGAAGCGATCCCTCTCAGTACACTGGAGGAAGGTCTATACGTGATCCACACCTTTCAGGCTGCTGGGAAGAGGAACGGCTGCCAGACACACAGACACACTGCTCGCGGGTTACCCAAACCTGGCAGAACAGCGAACCCTGCTGCGGACGCCTGTTTTATTATAATGGCAAAGAGAATTGTTTTAAGACCCTCAGGTTTTCACCTCTGAGAAACAGCAAAGTCAGCAAACAGAACCAAAGATAGCCTGGGGCCAATCAACTGGATCCTCCATCTCGGCCACCCAGCCCAGTACCTGGATTCGACATGTTAACATCTTCACTTACATTGGCTTGTTCTTTCTGTCCACCCAAACCGTTTGAAAGCAAGGTGCAGACACTGTGAAACCTGGCCCCTGGATACTTTGGTTTGAATTTCCTAAGAATGAGGATATTCTCTTCATAAGCCCAACACCATCACTGCACCTAAGAAAATTAGCACCATTTCCCCAATAATACAGAACGTGTTCCAATCTCCCCAGCTGACCGAAAATGTCTATGACACCAGGGATTTCAGAACCAGATTCCAATCAGGTTCACACAGACTCTTTAATCCAGAACAGTCTCCACCTCTCCCCAAGGAGACTTTGGTCTCTATTACACGTGGGGCACACACACAGCCCCCTCTTCCCATCCGTCAGAAAGGACGGCGTGGAAGAGAGAGGGTTAAATGTGAGACAGATTTAAATTCAGTCCAAGTTCCCACACCATATATGTGATCTTAAGAGAGTCATTTCCCTCTCTGGACCTTAAACTCGTCACTTCTAAAATGAGAGGGTTCAACGAGACGATCTAGAGAAGACATTAGGCACCCAATAAATGTTCGACTTAATTCGGTTAAAAAACACAGGTATCTCTTACTATCTCAACTCCTGTTACCTGACTGTATTCAGGAACTGAACAGATTCGTGTCAATCCTACCTGGAACCCAGGAACCAGGCACAGAGATCTAATATCGCTTGTTATCTGAACACAGGGACGCACAGATCTGACTCCCAAGCGATACCTTGGTTGACTGAGCAACCACCAGATACAAACATGCTGTGCTGGGCGTTCCGGGGAATCCGAAGGTCAAGGGTACTGTGCTGGGTCTCAGAATGAATTCAAGGGGATGAGCGCGAAGAAACTACTATTACCTTTTGCTGGATGAAATCGAGCAGGGGTCAATGAGGTGACATTTAAGCAGAACCTTGAAGGGTAGGAGTCTCCATAACGGAGAGATGTGGCAGAGCTAGGAAACGGGAGTGCCGGGCTGACCGCGTGCTAGCCGTCCCCACCCAGAACCGGCCGGCCACCCTCACAAACGGTAGCTTCCTCACAGAAACCCAGACCAGTTAATCTCTTGAGGGTCGAACAAGACAGCATGTTGGAAACACTGTAAGTAAAGCGCCATTTGACTGTAAGCGCCTAATTAGAGAAAAGATATCTTAAGCCAGAGAGAGACACGAGTAAAGGGGAGGCACTCTCAAAGTCCCCACTGTGTTTAAGGAAGTGGAAGCAGTTTCGTGTGACTGAAAAGTGCAGGGATGTGGTGAAACAGGAAACTGGAAAAAAAACAAGTCACAAACTACACTGGACGGATGCTCAGGGCTTGGCCTTGCTCTACAGACAACGGCGACGCTCTGACAATCTCGTCACAGAGGTGACACTATCTGATTCGTAGCTTTAGACAATCAACAGCAACACAGAAAAACGCTGGTGAGAAAATGAGGCGGGAGACGCGCTGGGCGCTGTACGTCTGCGTCAGAGCCATGAATCAGAGCCCGACACAGAACCGACGCCCGCCCTCGGGCTCGCCTTTGCCTTTACGGAAGCACGTGCAGGGCTGAAACTGGTAAGAAACGCCTGTGTGACAGAAAGGCCACAGTAGTTTGTGTTAAAAACCACGTACACATGCTGGCTCGGCTCCATCTTACGAAAAAGGGGCAGGTGCGGGAACAAAATTCCTGCCAGTCATTTAAGCCCCAGCCTTTCATATAAGATAAAAACGGTAATGTGTGTTCACCAAGGTAGTATTTCCTTTGCTATTAATTTGTTTATCCTACAAATGTTCCAGATCCCATCGCAGAATACCGACTGAATTCAAACAGGAATAGTATCTTCCTAAAGCAACCCAAAGATTGAGGTTAGAAATGGCGGAAGGATCAAGACCAAACAGGGGTGACAAAGATGGCGCTGGGATCATGACCAAGAGGAACATGTGCCTGTGAGCAACGGGACGCAGTGACAATGAGTTTTAAAAAGTACGTACCTGATTTTCTTTAGCAGAAGATTCCAAAAAAGCTGCATTCCAAGATTCTGCTAACGCCTTCCCTTCTTCATAACTGATCACCCTAAAGAAAAAAAGGAAAGTCCAATGAAACAGCTTTGCCCTTTTCCTTACGGGACATCTGTACTTGATTTGAGCCCCATTCTCATCACGTTTTCCCTCGTGGAGCAGCAGCACACTCCGCTCAGCATCGCCAGCCCGTGTGTGACAGAGGAGCCCTGGGGGACAGAACAGACACCGCCCTGTGGGATTACCCACGGCTCACAGAGCATGACTCCCTCCCGCACGCGGCATCTCACAGTGGGCCGCAGGCGCCCGAGGACAGGGGCCGCTCGGAAAGGGCCTGAGGCTCAGTGCTGCAGTGACAAGCTGCGGCCCTGGCCAGGCCAGCGTGTCTCTGCCCTCCAGGCCGAGGACCCATGCGGGCGGGGTCCATGGCCGCCCCGCTCATGGCTCCGCTTCGCAGCCTGGGACACAAACCCGACTTGCGGCGCGAGGGAGTGCCACCACTGTCTTTCTCAGCGTTGGCTTTCCCCAAGATGGTAGAGGGATCTAAAGGGAATTTTCCACAGTGTTCGCCCTCTTTTCTGGAGGAAATGAACAGGTGAGCGCCACACTGGTTTCTAATCTAGGCCCGGTCGCTGCCACATTTCCGAACACAGAGCGGATAACGCCACAGCGGAAAATCTTCCTGCCCCAAGGACGATAATTAAAAATGGAACTTCAGTGACTAAATCACCTTATACCGGATTTTATAAATCAGCGATGATTTACGAGCTACGCACCTTTCCATATGTAGGTCTTTCTTATTGCCAACCAACATAATAGGTATTCTATTGACAAAAGAAAAAAGAGTCAAAGTCAATGGGTCAGCGCAGATTTTATCGTTCAGACGGTGCTACCGTAATGAGGACGTCTAACGAGAGAGAGAACATTACTACTTACTGCACTTTCCCCACCATGTCCAACAATTTGCCGTGGATAACTTTAATCACTTCGAAACTATAAAAGAGAAAGTATGAAATCAGACATCCATTTCAGCGCTGATGTTTTTAAATGGTTGTTATGGAACGTTTATAGTGGGAAACACAGAAAATGTCACAGACTCGCCATTTTAATATAAAGTACACTGAACACAAAGAAGTGCTTTGTTTTTTCCTACCACTATTTCACACCTGCACGGACATGACACGCAGTGACCCTTACTGAGAATATTCAAAGTCTAACGGTGAGCTGACGAACCACAGAAACCCAAGTTTTTATCTCTAGATAAACGTTTGCAGATCATTCCGTAGCTAGAGGGCCCTGGCACTCACCCGTGCTCCCCATCAATATGGCGAAACCAAACAAAATGTAAACCGATTTATGCATTTCCTATTTCAATTTCAGACTGTGTTCAGCCCCTGTCTATCCAGGCAGCCTGCAGTAAGAAATGCAGTTTTTTATCCCATTGCTGTGAGAGAACACCTACCACGGTAATTTTTTCCCTTAATCTGTTCGCTCCACGACACAATTACTAAAAATATTTAGTTTAATAATTGAGGCTAAGCGTTACTACCGATGTCAGCACAATGCTTTATAAGGATTCACGTTATCTCTGTGTAGCAAATAAACCCAAGCAAGGAGCAGGAGTCTTACCTTTTGATTGATGTAACAGAATACACAAGAATGTAACCATTAATATCTATGGAGTATGTCTGAGGAAAGATGGAATATTCATCCTGTGAGAGAAAAAATAATCAGATGCATAACAAGCACTCTTTACTCAAAGGTTTTCACAATTACCTGGTCAAAGCAATCGAAATAAGCACAAAGGAGATTACGATACTATTCTAGAAACACAGCCTATATGCTCGAGATTTAGTTAAGACTGGTTTGGGGGTGATAACGTGTTTTAAGCCAATATTCTAAGACTTTTGGGGCAGGTTGACTGTAAATCCCAGGAGAGCAGGGAAGGGACGAAGAGAGGGCCGATTCCGTGACCTCCTACTGCAGGAAAAGCACAACCGCAGTTCGTCCATGGACCAAAAATGCAAAATCTCTCAGGCCTCATGGAAAATTCACAAGTCTTACTGGTTTACTCCATAAATCTGTATTTTCATAGACACTATACTCAATCAGAGTGCGCACAGACTTTTGAGGATCAATATGAGTTATTTACTGAGAACTTTAGGAATTAAAAACCAAGGTACACATTATGTAATAGAGTATTAGTAAAGTTTTATAAAACTTAGGAAACTCTGCTTTAGATACAGAATTATTAAAGCACACAGAAGGGTCTGATGGCTGTGCAGTTTTCACTAGGACACGCCCCTGCCTGGTACAGGCATCTCATCCTTACTTGAGACCTAACTGTCAATAAACCACACATACCAGGCGCTACTACAGAAGAATCATGGCGAGCCACTGTTAGATCAAGTAACTAACTCTCTATTAACTCTGCAATTCCAAGTGTGGGTACAACTGATGTTCGTGACGACCTTGAATCACTACCCTACGGTCACGTGTCTTTTAAGAACAAAAAGAACAATTAGGTTTTACTATCGACTCTGATATCGCAGTGGCCACGAATCAGAAAACAGCATTTCTACATCACAGAGCTTACTACATATGCGAAGGAAAACCTTCCCCGTTCTCATTACTATTACCACTTCATTAAGTTGAATTCATTTTAGTGTTGAAACACATTTTTAGTTTTAAAACCAATTGTTAATGGAAGGACAGATCTTTCCACCCGGATTAAAAACAAAATTCCAAATGATTTTAGTCACCAACTCAGCTACAGTGGATCCAAAGTACAAATAACCTTTTCCCTGAAGGGAAGGTGTGGAAATAAAGAGTTATATTTAAGAAGCATGGCGTAAAACACAACTAGTTAGAAAGGATAATGGAAGAAGACTCTCAGCTGCAGCAGCAACCAAAAAGGACAAAATTCCTAGGAACAAACCAAAGAAAATAAAAAATATATGATTCACCTGAAGAAAATCTTAAACTACCCCCAAGGGAGAAGACTTAAATAAATGGAACGGCATGTCAACCTTCCACAAGAATGTGCAGAATCAGAAGGATCTCCACTGACTAACTCTGAATTAATGTAGAAATGCAACATGATCCTGGGGAAAACATATTTCTGGACAAAGAATAGCAACTGTGGAGGCAGGTGACTGGAAACCATAAAGCTTCCATAATTAAAATAGTGCAGTGCTGGCTCATGGATGGAGCAGCCTGGAACATTTACAAAGACCCAAATACATATGGGAATTAGGTATATAATACTGGCATTTCAAATCAGTAAGGATGAAGAGTGACCCTCAACGAAATGTACAGGGAACAGATGCAGAGTCACCTGGGGTACACGCCTAAGCTGGGTCTCTAACTCACACCTCAGCAAAAATGCATTTTGGAGGAATCGGACTTAGAGATGGAAACTCAAACTGTATGCGTAGCAGATGAAAGAATTAAAAAAATAAAGAAGATGCTCTTCATGGCTGAAAGTCTTTCAAACAAAAACCATCAACAAAAACAAACTGAAAATGAAACCTCGTAGCTCAGATCATATACAAAATGCTAATTTTCCTCACATTTTAAGGGCTCTCTCAAATCAATAAGCAAAGACCAACCACTCAATAGACAAAAGGCGAAGTATATGACTAGAAAGGACAATTCGCAGAAAAGGAAAGACAAATAGCCTCGAACGCGGGCAAATGGGATCACACTCCTTCATAATAAGAATACTTATTCAATTTAAAATAACACTGAGATTAACTATTTTTCACTCAGCAGATGGACAAATGTGAAAACGTTCAGAAACAGCGTGTTGGAGAGGCTGAGAGGGATGGGCACCGACTCGCCGCTGGGGCGAACGTAAGCGGTGGCCCTGTGACCCGGCAGTCCCACGCCCAGGACTCGCATATCATCTGTCTAAAATGACACGAGACACTGGTGGTGGAACCGCTGCGGGGAGCGAGACTGGAAACAAGCTAACTGTAGATCAAGAGCTAAATCAGGGTACAGCTAAGCAAGATACGCTGCCACGGGGGAAAAAAGAGGCCGCATGCACTGACACAGAGATGGAGAGCTACACTGCTTTTTGTGTAAAAAAGAGAATCATCACCTAAAACTGTATGTGCGTGTTCACGTACAAAATATCTTGGATGCATATACTAGAGACTGATGACAGCGGCTGCGGGGGGCGGGGCTGAGGTAGCTAGAGTGGGAAAGGTTTAAGTTTTACTCTTTGCCTTTTTGTGCTACTTTATTTCTGCAACACGAGCTTTTACTACTATTAAGAAAAGTTAATCATATTTGTGTTTTGTAAGGGGAATTTGACATTATAACATTGACTGTCACTGACTCCTTGTCATTGAGTCCACTGAAATTAGACCAAAATATTTCATGCAAACTAAAAATAACCAACTTGTATCTAACTAGGTTCACGGTCATCCCTAGCTGGGCAGTTAACACCAGCTGTAATTCCGACTACTAAGCAGACAGCACTCGCTGTCATATACGCTATACAGCAATTTATCATGTACAATTTTACTCCCAAAATGTGCGAGCTAGTGAACAAATTGATGAGATTACTTTTAAAGAATTTGCCCC